TCTCTCTCTCTCTCTCTCTCTCTCTCTCTCTCTCTCTCTCTCTGTTATATACCAGTGATTCTCAAACTCTCTGTGGAACTCTTAATCAGTACAAAAATCCATGCATCTCATGGACAACTACTGTATACCTAAAAGAATTCTCCCACGACACACTGGAAAGTGGTGTTTATTTTTGCACGTGCACCAAGGAGAGCTTTTTCAGTGAATAGATGGCACTGTGAGAAAAAATAGAGTAATGGTTAGGAAAACTCTAGAAATGAACAATCTTCTTAGCTGTTTGCCAGCTTTGTGTTCCCAGGCAAGGAAAAATAATTATAACACTATCACCCTGATCTTAGATGTGTGATGAGGTCTGCATGAGACAATGCTTGTAACATATATTGCTATGTATGCATGTATGTATATGAGTGCCTGACACACAGGCAACTCACAGGACATGCTAGAGTCTAAGCATGCATTCTGCAAACAGCCACCTATGGAGCATCCAGAGCATACAAAGCTTTTGAGCCATGGCCAATAATATTTATTTTATATTATGATATGAAAATATACACACAACTGAAAGAAAATAATGTTTAGCTTTAAAATCTTCAGCACATGCTGATAGTTCCTCATCCATTGTATCTCATCAAAATATGTGGGTTTACAATTCATTAATAAACAGATTCACAATTGGAGAAACAGAGATCTGGTTGACCTTCAGAGGATCACTATGATGAAGAGTCAGTCATCTTTGGGAGTGGTTGAATAGGCGAAGAGCCTTTCCTGATATTTTCTAAACAGCTCACTCTTGTCAGCTGTAGTTTTGCTTTCTTTGGTTTCAGTTACCCACAATCAACTTTGTTCTGAAAATATTAAATGAAAAGCCACCAGAAAAATTTCTAAGTTTGGAGTCTGGCAAGATGGCACCTGCCACTGAGTCTGACAACTTGAATTCAGTCTCCTGGACTGACATGGTAGAAGGGGAGAATCAATTCCCATAAGTTGCTCTCTGATCTCCACACATGCAAGCACATGTGTACAAGTGTACACCCACATAAACTTAATAAAAATGCAATAAACTTTAAATTGTGAGCCATTCTGTGTAGCATGAGGAAATCCTGCTCCAGATGTCAATCATCCCTTTGCCCAGTGCATCCACACCATAGACTCTACCCACCCATTAGCCACACAGTAGCTGCCTCCGTGAGCAGGTCTACCATCAGTGTTACTGCACTTAAGCTACACCACAGTATCTATGCCATTCAGTGAACTTCCTCTTGTCACATGGGCATTGGGTCACCTCACCTTGTGACAAGATGATGCCCAGTGTCCCTCACATTATCATAGGATAAGACTTTTGAAATACAGCACATAAGCTTTATTATGTGGTACGTTGCTCTATTTTATTATTGTTGTACACAGTCTCTGTGTCAACTTATAAATTAAACATTGTCATAGGTGCATGTGTATTAGAAAACTATAATACAGGGTTCAGTACTATCCATGGTTTCAAGCATCAATTGGGGGTGCTGGAATTTATCTCCCATAGACAAGAGGGACCTACTTCAAGTATGTTAATGGGGAAATCCACTGGAAAGGTTCTCTTCAGAATCCGGATTCACTCCACAGGCATTTGAGCACACTTGTTTGTAAGAAACTGGAGGATGGAGAGGGGGACTTCAGTGTCTGAAATATGGTGCTTGTCCTCAGGGAATTTGTAGCTTAATCTCAGAATTAAGAGTCATCCACAGCCAGGTGTGGTGGGGCACTCCTTTAATCCCAGCACTTGGGAGGCAGATGCAGGTGGATCTATGTGAGCTCAAGGCCAGCTTGCTCTACATAGCAAGTTCCAGGCCAGCTGGGGCTCTAAGAAGACCCTGTCCCAAAAAGACCGAAAAGAGAAGTCACACGAAACCCTACTATGGGGGGGGGGTCACTCCGTTCTCGATCCATAAACAAGACCTGACCTCAAGAGGCTTACCTTCTCATGGTAGTAAAGGATAATAAACAATAACCAAATAATAACGTTCAGTGGTTAAGGCTCCAAAGACAAAGGAAGGGTGGCTGTTAGCAAGACCTGTTCTAGATGGGGCTGTCAGGGAACAGTTCTCAGAGACATAGAGACACAGAGACATAACCAGAGACATGAATGAAATGAGGGAGAGTGCTAGTAAATTCTACTTGTGCTCCATTACAAGGGGCCAGCAAGCCCAAAGGCTCTGAAACAGGTATGAGTTGCAATATTACAATAATGGGAAGGAAGCCAGAGAGGCTGGAGCTTGCTGAGCAAGGCAGAGTGGTGTGCATCTAGAGGCAGATGGGGCCAGATATGGTAGGCCTTTTTTTCTTTCTCTCTAAAAAAAATTACATTTACTCGTGTGCATGTGTGTAGGTCAGAGGACAACTTGTGTGAATCACTTTTCCCTTTTTACCATGAGTCCCAGGGATCATACTCAGGTCATTAGGGTTGGTGGCAACTGCCTTTACCTACTGAGCTGTCTTCCCAGTCCCAGATGTGGTACATGTGACCAGCACACTAAATCCTGAATCATATCTGGATGTGACAGAAGGTAATTATGGACCCTTGAGGAGAGTATGGTGATCTGATGCATTTTTGCTGCTGTGGAGGTGACTAAAGGGTACAAGAGGGAAGCAATTGGACCAGCTCAGGAGGGTGTCAGCGCTGTCCAGACAGGATGATGGTGGCTTAGAAAGCAGTAGCAGTGAGGAGCCTATGGGCTCACTGATGGGGGTAGTGAACAGCCTTTAGTACTTACTCTCAGAAAGAGGTGTCCTTTGCACATCCATAGAAGAGTATAGGATGTGAGGTGCCAAGACAGTACACAGCGATATTGTGGTAACTCAGATGAAAACTGCATCTAGCTGGGGGATGAGCTGGCACTTGAGCTGTGTTTTCAAGGATGAGTGGGCAGAAATGGTAGAGGAGGAGAGGATATTCCTAAGAAAAACGAAAAGCATGTGAGGGAAGACATAGAAAAGGGGGGCTGCAGAAGGCACTGTCCAGACCTGGAGGTCATCCTGTGAATATAGTGGGCCTGAAGGGGTGGCTGGGAAGATGAGGCTGCAAAAGGAGTTCTGGGATAAATCACGCATGGTCTTCCAGTGTCAGGACAGAGCTTTGGGAAACGGAGAGCCACTGCATATTTCTCAGAGGGTTTAGTGTGTTTAGAGCTCAGCTTTACACAGCATGGGCACCTTGGAGCTGTGGAGCCTGGAAGCCTGTGCCTTGGGCCTCAGTAGACTCATTTGTTAACTAAGCCTTGGCTTTCCCTGAGCCAGAACTGTTTCATCCAAACAAACCAGCCTTCTGCCTGGCCAGGGGGCTGTTCCCTATGATCCCTTCAGCTCACATCTAAGCTCTTGCCCCTTCATCTAAACCCACCCCATTCTTTCTTCATTTCTGTTGCTCTCTCCCTTCCAGGAGAGCCATTGTCTAGCCACTCCTGCTGGCTCTTCACATCACATACAGGTACATATGACTTCTATAAGAGAGAAGTTGCTTTGGGTGGAGGACCTTACTTTGCACTTCCTTGGTTTTCCTGAGTCTGGCACTTGATAGGACATTTAGTTACACTGATAACCCCATACTCAAGGGTTCAGAATCAAGTAGCTTTCCGGAGAGCCAGGAGTAGCAAGGCAGTTGTCAGACACGTGGCTAACCAAACACAGCCAAATGGGTCCTCCTGTCCTGTCTCCATCCCTTTTCCCACTCCATTTTCTGGCCAGCCCAGATCTGGATCCCTTTAACCTTTGCCAGAGGACTGTCCCTAGGCAAATTTCCCTTGCTCTGGGGAACAAAATGCACACTCAAGCAAGCACAGCAAGGCTGGGATTCTTAGGGAGACAGGGAACTGGGCTTGGTTACCTCAGTGTCCTGGGCCGCCACCCCTCCCCCTTCTCCAGAACTTGGTTTTTTAATGACACATGGCCTTCCTCTTCCTCAGTTCCAGGCTCTGTGGTTTGCCAACTGTGGCTTTTCTTTGGCTTTAGGGGCTTCAGGTCTGGAGTCCTTAGCCCGGGTAGCCCCACTTTCCGCATTTCACCAGCCATTGGAAACACAGCCAAAGACAGGTTTCAAGTGAGCAACGAGGCTGCGTGGACTACCTTGGCACCTGACACCTTGCAGAAAATGGGTCACTTAAGGGAACATTGCCAAGGCACCTTGTGCACTGTTGCTGTGGATACCAATTTGGTGGTTGGCCTGTCCCTGTCCTCCATTCCTCATCGATTCCTTCCAAACCTTTGCCTGCTAAATTTGGTAAGGGGCCGAGAGACCAGGAGAATCAGTGAAGTGAAAGCTCCAGGAAGGACTTTGATGCTGGCT